ATTTTTCTTTCTTGACGATAATATTTGTGCTTGGACGTACTGCTTCGGGCAAATCAATGTATCGTTCAACAGATGGCAGTTTGAGGTAAAGAAAAAATATTTTGTCCAAATAACAGAAGATTGGGAGCGATACTGGCATCTTGACATCCGTGTGGATGGAGTAGATTTTTTTGCACTTTGCAGTTACTAGGACACAGCTGAAATTCAGGTATTATTGAAGTATATATTTTTAATTTATTGTTTGAATTTCTATATTATTTCGAATTGACATTGTTTTGCAGGCTCAAGCTGAAATAGCAAAGAGGAATCGCAACGCGCCTCGCAATTACGAGCATCACGGGGGCTTCAGGACATTCAGCCAGCATTATCATCAATTAGAGCTTGAGGTATATAATATATTAGCTTTTACGTTGAGTATAATTTATGTGTTATAGGTTAATGATATATTTGAATAAAACAGGGAAGGGGAGATCTCAGACATTTTGCAGATCGTATTCTGACTTCCTGGAGCCCGAATTACGCCAATGAAGAGAAGAAAGCAAAGAATAAGGATCTGGCTGTAAGTAACTGTCATTTATATATTCAATTTCATATCAATGCATCATTAGTAAGTCGACTTGCCCGGGTTGTTTTGATATATCGCAGGAAAAATTACATGCCAAGGTAGAGGAGCAATTGACTCAGTCTCAGGTCTGTTCTAACACTCCTACCCGGCTAAGTAGAGAGGAGGAGGACTCCATCATCGAGACGGTCATTGGACCTAGTAGGAAGAACAGATATCGGTGGAGAGGATCCGAGCAGAGGCCGCACGAGTCTAGTAGCACCTACGAGTCTGCAGCACCACAAGGAACACCAGGAAGCAGTTCATATCAAGACTCGATGGAGCAACGATTAAAAGCGATTGAAGATCGCCTGTCGCAGCAAACAACATATCAGCAGGCTCTAGGGGGGGGAGGAATGGGGATTGGGTGTTGATGGTGGTGATGGTAGTGATGGAGGGGGAGGGGGTGTGTAGAGTATGATTGGTTGGTGGGTGGGGGCTTTGATCGTGGTTGAGGATGAGGAGTGGGGATTTTGTTGTGGTGGTGGTTGAGGGGGAGGGGTAGGGCGAGGGGGAGTGTTGTTGGTTGGTGGGTGAGGTTGGAGGATTTGTTGTGTTGTGGTGTGATGTGTGGTGATGTGTTGTGCAGTGTAGTGTTGTGATGGTGTAGTGTTGTTGTGTTGTGGTGTTGTGGTGTTGTGGTGTTGTGGTGTTATGTTGTTGTGTTGTGATGTTGTGGTGTTGTGTTGTGGTGTTGTGGTGTTGTGATGTTGTGTTGTTGTGTTGTGGTGTTGTGTTGTTGTGTTGTTGTGTTGTGATGTTGTGGTGTTGTGTTGTGGTGTTGTGGTGTTGTGATGTTGTGGTGTTGTGTTGTAGTATATTTATATTTATACTCTTATTAACGTTTACACACACTTGTTAACATTTGATTTATATTTACAGGCCGGGACTTCTTCACAAGGTGCAGCCGGGAGTAGTCATAAGGTGGCTGGTGTTGAGGATAAGGATGATGATGATCAGGAGGATTGATTGTCCTTAATATAACTTTGAAAACAATTTCTTGTGTTGTATAAACAATATTTATTATGTACCTGTCGAGAAACTTTTACTTGCTTTTATTGAATTAAATGTGTGATATATGCGTGAGATGTGATATTTGTGTGAGATTGAAGCTTTCTTCTGCTGATTGAACAGGTTTTTAAAAATTATTATCGATATTGTACAGGGTTTTTTCAATTTTCAAAATATTTTGCAAATTTCTTTTTTTAAAATTTTTAGCAACGGAATTTCCGTTGCTAAAAACATTTTTAGCAACGGAAATTCCGTCGCTAAAGTATTATTTAGCGACGGAAAACGTGCATGAAATCAGATCCTGCACAATTTTCTAAAACAATAGCGACGGATTTGCCGTCACTAATACTTTTTTAGCGACGGAAAATCCGTCGCTATTATTTTTTTAATTTTTTATTTTTTAAAAATAGCGACCAATTTTCCGTCGCTAAAATTTAGCGACGGAATTTCCGTCGCCAAAAGTCTTTTTAGGCACCCTTGTTATGACGTTGAAATTTTCGCGACGGAATTTAATATTTTCCGTCGCTAAAACTTTTAGCGACGGAAAAACGACTTTTAGCGACGGATTTGTCCGTCGCTAAAAGTTGAAAATCCAGCAATGTTTGTAGTTTGGCTGGCTTTAAGGAATGCTCTGAATACGACAGATATTCTAGCTAAAAAAGGAGTTTCTTTACAGAAGAGTTGTTGCTTGTGTGATAAAACAGATGAAGATCATTCACACTTGTTTCTTAACTGTGAGTTTGTGTACTCCATTTGGAGATGAATCCAATTCAAGTGGAACACTGACAAAAAATTTAGATTGAATTCTATAAAAGAAGTTTGGCTTCAGTGGTCCAGTGGATTCAATAGAGATTCTAATATGAAGAGAAGAGTTTTCATCTGCTCTCTTATTTGGTGTGTCTAGCAGGAGCGCAATGATAGATTGTTTTCTAGTAAGAAGAAAAGTTCTCTTGTCCTCCTGAACAAAATTGTGACTTTCTCAATATTTTGGCTAGGGGCTGAGGGGATTTCTGCTCGAGCTGCCAGATTATGAGAAAGAAGAAGAAAAAGAGCTGTTGGTTTCACTACTGCTGTTACTGCTGATTTTGGGAACAAAGATGGAGCGGCCACAGTGATTCAATTGGGATGAGTTCCTGCGGGTTTTATAGTTGCTGGATATGCTCTTTGCTTTGTTTGAATGAAAACTTTATAACCTCCTTCTGTTTTGTTTTTTGGTTACTTTTGACAAACTTGTTATATCAGTTTGTTTTGGGGAGGTTCTGTCGAGTTGTTTTTAGGGGATGGAGTACTACTAATTGTAGTATTTTCTTTTGAACTTTAGTACATACTCTTGGTTGGGAGTATGAACTGTATTTTTTGTAACAACCACTTTGTTTTCTAATTTAGCTGGCTGGAATACCTTTGGGGTATTCCATTATTTTTCTAAAAAAAAAGGACTGAAACAACTAGTAATTTTCTTAAATTATAATTAATGAAAGTTCAAACATGTGGTCAATAAGGAATTATTAATTGTGTAGCCAAGGGCCCAATGAGTGATGAATAAATATTAGATTGGGTCACATGAACGTGTCATGTGCTTGTTTGAGAGAGAGAGAGAGAGAGAGAGAGAGAATGAAGCCAGTCTCTGAGACTAGCAAGAGTTCTCAACTTCATCCATTCTCTTTGCTTCAGCGCTTTCTTAGAGCGTGTGCTAGGTGGTTTGCCTCATGGGATCATGATCAACAAGAGACGGGAAAGGAGCCACCTTCAAGTGTAAGCTCTCTCGAGCCACCTTCAAGTGTAAGCGCGCCCTCTCTCTCTCTCTCTCTCTCTCTCACTTGCGTTTTTTTTTTATTTAATTTCATGCAGCAAACTGTACCAAGGGGTGTGGTGATTCAATCAAGGAGTGTGGTCATTCAATCAAGGAGGCCCCACAAGAAAAAGCCAGATCAAGGGAAAGGGCCAGAAATCAACTCCATCTCCTCTTGAGATCAAGTGAAGGCTGTGAAGCTACCTCAAATCTCTCAAAAATTAGCAACAAGACTTACCTAGTGAAATAGATGTTAAACATATGTTTTCTCCCTTTTCTTCTCTCTCTCTCTCTCTCTCTCTCTCTCTCTTTTTCCTTATTGAGGGATGGATGTATAGTTTGTTGCTAGTGAAGTTTACCTGTGTTATGAAATTTATCTTTCACTGTTCTTTCGGTGAGTTTGTAAATGTTTCAGAGGAATAGGAAATGATTTTATGAAGGAGGTGGAGTGTACATGGAAATGGTTCGCCGACCTTTTTGCTTGCTCTTTGTGATCCTTATTAACGACACATGGGGTGGGTCTGGTGATTTGCTGGCTGCGTCAGAAAGGTTTAGGTCCAAATGTTCCTTAAAACAAATTGATTTTAATTATGGGTCATTTCGCGAAACGCGGCTTGAACCCTGCATGTAATTTGTAATTTGTAAATAACTAAAATGTTTTTAAGTAAAAATAATCTCAAAATTTGTCAATGGTTATTTACACGTAACATACGTCCTCCTAGAATTTTTATTTTTTTTTCTTTCAAGAAAATTTTGGTTATTTACAAATTACATGTAAGGGAGCTAGGTGAGATAAGGTTAACTGCGAGAGTTTTGTGAGACACTCCATAGATTTTTTTTAGGGGGGTTTAAGTGAGATAAACAAAATTAGGGGGGTTATGTGCAACACCACCTAAAGTTTAGGGAGGTTTAATAAAATTAACCCTTTAATTATTCTACATTAATTTGATGATCTAGCAAAACAGAAAAAGAAGAACAAAGGGTTTTACACATGTGCCCCCATCAAGTATATTTGCAAATTTACCCTGAGAAATCTAGATAAACTTGCTGTCCAAGTCTAACGTCTGGGGTTAAACTACCCTTCAAACTTGACATTGTTAGCTTTCGAACGGTGAGAAGGGAAAATTCCAGCTAGATAAATAGTAGAAAGTTAGACATATCCTAGAAGTATTGATGCACACAGCTTTTAAAGGGTATTTTAATTCTATTTGATAGATGAAGGTCTTAAATTAACAAATATCTTAATTTAAAGGATAATTTGATAGATGAATATGGTTGATTTGGGGGTGTTTGGGTCAAAAGTTGATGTTTTCATTGTCATCGAATCTTTTACAACTTTGGTCGCTACAATAAATTCAAATAAACGAGAAAAGTAGATCTTTTTATAAGATCGACTTATACAATGAAAATGTAAAACTACAACTCTTGTCAAACAGCGCAACGGACGTTTATCATCCGCTGCTTGCGTGGGAACTTCACCTGTGCCGGGGACGTTAATATCCGTGGACTGCCACAGATCAGATCCGGTTGACAGATTAAGTTGATCAAAGCTCTTACTTCACGAAGGAAGTAATCCCTGCAGCGATGATCCCAGCCAAGCGAGATCACGGCTCTTCTCGAGATTTAAGACTAAGCTTAAATCCGGAGGAATAGGGGACGGGTCTCAGATCTCTCGAACTCCACTCTTTGTGCACATGAACTCGCTAAGATCTACTAACCCTCACTGTAAATTTGTGGCTCCACTCTCCAATTCGGCAGCGTTTCGCCCTTTTGATTTTCTTCCCGTGAAATGAGCCCTTAGGCCTGTATTTATAGGCTTCGGATGCGGGTATTTGGATGAGAATAAAAAATTTAGCCTTATCTTCAGTCAATAACGGTCTAACTATGTTTGTGGATAATATCAAGTCAGTTGGGAACCCCTGGAATAGATAAATCCCGAGAAAACAGTCCAAAACCATCGAAAACGTGTTTTCGGGTCAAGACTGCACGCAAACGACTCGTGCCGAACCGCAGGCAACCGGCGCGCCTGGCGTCAGCCCGAGTCTGACCGCAATTTGCGTAGGTCGGACGGATCCGTCCCTCGCCGACGCTGGTCGGAATGATCCGTCCCGTGCGGGTCGAACGGATCCGTCCCACGTCGGCGTGGGTCGGAATGATCCGTCCCGTGCCGGCGCGGGTCGGACGGATCAGTCCCGCACTGGCGCGGGTTAACCACCTCAGCTGAACTTCTTCTTTTTGGCACTTTTCGACTTTCCGCGACTTGAACTTTCTGTCGCTTCGTTTACTTGTCCATCGTGTTGACTTGTACACTCCGCGCACGTTGACTGAAGTGCGCACGTTGACTGAAGTGTGTGTGTTGACTGACATGTGTGTTGACTGACGCGCGCGAGTTGATTGACGTACGCGTGTTGACTGAAGTGCGCGCGTTGACTGAAGGTGGTCGGTGAGCGCATGAGACAAAGTTTGTTCGCCATTCCAGTTCATGCACTTGTCGGCGTCAGATAATCCTCTTAGACTCGGATAACGATGTTCGTCATCTTCTCTCCATCTCGAGCTGTGTGCGGACACCTATAGGTATTTTTAGACGCCTACAGATACCCCCTCCAAAGTATTTTAGACTCATTCTTTTATAGAGGAGTCTGGAATGCTTTGGATAAGATAGGCCCTTTCCTCAATCTCGTAGAGGAACCTGTGAACTGCTTCAATTTAACTTCTTCAGCCTTTAGTCTATTCAGTATCTTATCGAATAGATAAAGTTCTTCCGACGCTGCGTTTATTGTCTAGCCGTTTGTTGATGTCTTGAATTGAAGTTGGTGTGTAAGTTTCTGGACTTAGCTCGTGTCATTGAATTGACTTTGAACTGATCATCTTCGTCGGAAATTCATATCTGAACTTTGGAGTTGATCGGAGGTCGTACGTTGACCGGCGTTGACTTCCATCGTAATACGTTAACCGACGTTGACCAAGGATTACGCGTTGACCGGCGTTGACCTTAGGGTTTTGCATCGACATGCATTGACTTTCATTGCAACGCGTTAACCTTGGGTCTACACCGTTTAAGCTCTTAAGGTGTTAGAACGTGGCGGTCCCAAATGTTGGGGCTACAGGACTAATTTGCTAAAGCTGATTCATCTGCATGTATGGATCTTATCCTGAGATTGCTTGATGCTCAAGTCACGAGACCAACTAATAAAGCTGATGCGTCAGTGACTTTTGCATATATAGGATTTTTGGCAAACCCTCAACCATCAACGGATTTTATGAGCCTTTACCGACTACCATTTGAGTCGGGCTAGCGTGCGAATTGTTCAATTCTGTTCCGCACGTAACGTTATGCTAAAAGAGCTAACTCTTTTAGTGCTACGATATTGAATATGTAGAATTCGTCTTTCTCACGTGAAAAGACTAAACGACGATGCGTGTTAGGCATAGACTTTAGGGTTTTTGGCAAACCCTCAGCCTTCAACAGGTTTGACGTACCTTTACTGATTATCATTTGAATTGGGCTTACATGCGGATTATTTAAGTCCGTTCCGTATGTGACGTTGTGCTAAGAGAGTTAACTCTCTTAGTGCTACGATATTGAATACGTAGACTTCGTCTTTCTTACGGGAATAGACTACCCGGCAACACGTGTTAGGCGCTGACTTATCCCTACTTATGCTTCAGGATAAAATTCTCCAGACTTGGATTCTGGTATCTTTTTCAATTGGTAAAAGACTAAACCGGCAACGCGTGTTAGGCGCTGACTTATCCCTACTTAGGATTCGAGATAAAATTCCCCGTATGTGTAAGGCACGGATTACGGCGTTATTAATAACACCCTGCCACAATGTTGAATATGTGGACTTTTGTCCTTTTTATGGTCAAAGACTAACCGGCAACGCGTGTTAGACGCTGACTTATCCCTACTTATGCTTCGGGATAAAATTCCCCAGACTTGGATTCTGGTGTTTTTTTTCATTCGATAAATGACTAAACCGGCAACGCGTGTTAGGCGCTGACTTATCCCTACTAAGGATTCGGGATAAAATTCCCCACGCGTGTAAGGCACGGATTTTGGTGGTTGAAAAGGTGGTGTCTTCTCTTGGGGCAAAGACGAACCCGATACTGGAAAGGAAGAATTTTATATTCTATTTCTAATTGCAAAGAAGACTCGAAGTGGGATCTCCACCCTAAGAATCCGAAAAGGTGAAACTAGGAGTGGGATCCCCACTCCGAGAATCGAAAAGATTCGGATAATCCTAACTATCGGAAGGTTTGATTACCGAACTAAAGGTGAATTTCTCATTTATCGAGAGTGAATTGTGATTTTGGCGCTAACTGTAGGAAGGTTTGACTAAATGGGAGATTTGAGTCAACCCTAACTGTAGGAAGATTTGATCACTCGATTTGAAAGTGGACCTCTCGTTCATGGAAGTAATCGAGAGGGGATTTAGGTTTTGGCCCTAACAGTAGGAAGGTTTGACCGAGTTAAAGGTTTGAGACGATCCTAACTGTAGGAAGGTTTGATCGCTCGATTCGTGGACCTCTCGTTCATTGGAGGAATCGAGAGGGGATTTTAGTTGTGGCCCTAACTGTAGGAAGGTTTGACCAGGTAGACAGTGGGAGTGGGAGTACAAATTACAGTGGGAGTGTTGACTTGTACAAGTCACTCAGAGGGGGTTCCTGGTGTTAAGTGATAAATACTTAACACGGAGAGGTTTGACAATCGTCAATGATCATGATATTAAAATTCCAAGTACTATGTCTGGAATTTAACAATGGGAATATTGAGTGCACAGTCGCATTAGAAGTTTGAGTGGATTCAACCGAAAGGAATTTTGGTGGTCCTATCGTCAATTACTCTGATCGGTGAGGGATTTTATGGTGGAAGTCTGTGAGTCGTCAAACACCAATGGGAGTTTTATGAGGGAAGATTGATCCAACGAAGTGATCGAATCTCGTCTCAGCAAAAGAGTGTTCGGAAATCACAGTGGGGGTTTAGTATTTATCACTTTGTTTGTAATGATCGGGTCATCCCTAAGAATATTACATTTAACATTCTTCCGGAAACCTCCTATTATATGAGTTATCCACCCCCAGCTTTCTTTGCAAAACTGGGCTTACAATTGTACTCAGTTGGATGACCGGGTTATCCTTAAAAATACCGGGCACATACACTCTAGGAACTTCCTGTGAAAGAAAGGAAACGATTTAAACTCATATACCTGTTGGAATATTAAAAATCAGTTTATACTCGTATACTCTTCGGAGTGTAGGAAAGAGAAGTTTATACTCTTATACTTATCGGAGTCTAGGAAGGAGCAGTTTATACTCTTATACTTATCGGAGTCTAGGAAGGAGCAGTTTATACTCTTATACTTATCGGAGTCTAGGAAGGAGCAGTTTATACTCTTATACTTATCGGAGTCTAGGAAGGAGCAGTTTATACTCTTA